CGTCTCTACTAAAAATACAAAAAAATTAGCTGGGCATGGTGGCGCGTGCCTGTAATCCCAGCTACTCAGGAGGCTGAGGCAGGAGAATTGCCTGAACCCAGGAGGCGGAGGTTGTGGTGAGCCAGGATCGCGCCATTGCACTCCACCCTGGGTAACATGAGTGAAACTCCGTCTCAAAAAAAAAAATTAGCTGGGCTTGGTGGTACACACCTGTAGTCACAGGTACTTGGGAGGCTGAGGTGGGAGGATCACCTGAGTCTGGAGAGGTAGGGTATGCAATGAACCCTGATTGTGCCACTATACTCCAGCCTGGACAGCAGAGCAAGACTCTGTCTCAAAAAAAAAATAAATAAAGTTTCTAAATAGAAAGTCAAATACCACATGTTTTCACTTATAAATGGGAGCTAAACAATGATACACATGGACATAAAGAGTGGAATAATAGACACTGGAGGCGACCAAAGGTGGGAGGGGTAGGGGAAGAGGGGGTTGAAAAATTGCCTTTTGGGTATACTGTTCACCCTTGGGATGGGGGGTACACTAAAAGCCCAGACTTCATCACAGTGTAGTATACGCTTGTAAGAAATCTGCACTTGTAACCCTTGAAATATATAAAAATGTTTGAAAAGTTTCTGAATATGACTTTCCAGTCATATTTTCTTTCTAAAATGTATTTAATTCCCATAGGAGCTGGGCCTCCTGCACTTACGGGAAGGTGCTTCAGGAAGAAGCATGAGGTCTGTATTGTGCTGCTTAACCATCCTCGCTTTTCACACCTACGTCTCCTTAATACTCGGTAAGATCTGGGTGAGATTGTTTCATTGAACGTTGATGATCTTGGCCAGGCATGGAGGGTTACACCTGTAATCCCAGCTACTTGGGAGGCTGAGGTGGAAGGATCACTTGAACCCAGGAGTTTGAGGCTACAGTGAGCTATGGTCACGTCACTGCACTCCAGCCTGGGCGACAGAGCAATCTCCTGTCTCCAGATTAAAAAACGAAACAAAACAAAAAGTTGATTAATCTGAGTATGTAAAAATTTAGAAAGATCAGCAAGAGCTAGTAGTTTATGTCTGTATACTTTTTTTTTTTTAAATAAAGTTAGAAAATAGTGTCCTTTGTCTTCGTGACATTTAGCAGAGGGAGTAGGTAGTTTCCTTCATTAAATAATTTTCATCTGTTCTCAGCTAAAATTTCTGTGTTAAGATGATCTATTTTATCATATATTAGATTTATTTTCTTTGCAAAAAATGAAATTTTTGCTAAATAAGTTATTATTGCCATTAGAACCAGAAATTCCAGTTAGGAATCTGAGAGAGCCACCTGCATTCTTAAGAATTAGTGTGTCCTAGAGCTTTCTTAAACTAAAGTTATAGGTGAGACCGGTCTTTATTTTATTCCCTAGATATAAACATGATAAAATAATAGTTTTCATCTTTTCCATGAGTAGGTCTTTATTTACTATATGTTAATGAAATTTGGAGAGTTGGTTATAAATATCCCCATGTCTTATGAAGACTGAGGCTTTTCCTGTTAAATTTCTAGGTACAGGAGAAGTGAATATTGCCGAAGCAGAGCGTCTCCTGGCACCCTTCCTCCAGGAGTTTCCAAATGTATGCTTAGTATTTCAAAATGTATGTTTCATCCATAATTAATCAGCCAGTGTTGACTGTTGAATGGTGTGTTTTCTTCTTTGCTCTGCAGGGCTCACTCATGTTGTTTTATCATGCCCGAATAGAGTTGCTGAAAGGGAATCTTGAAGAGGTAATTTATTAGGTGGGAGTTGTTTGGGGGAGTTGTCTGTATGGTGGAATTGCGTCCTACTCATCCAACAAAAGTAAACTTAGCTCTATGGACTAGACAAAAATAAAGAAAAAAATATATAAGTAAAAAGCCAAAACTTTAAAGTGTATATACATTCTGTTATATAAAATCTGTGCAGTGGATTACTGAATGTAGCCTACATTTCTACACAGAATACATTAAGTACTTTAGGGTAGTATATACCAAATAATAAGCTCAGAGATTTTCAAGAAACTGTGACTGTTATCAATTTCTGTATTATACACTGACTTTGGAATCTAGCCCCTGCATGAGATGCAAGTCTACTTACTACATGTGGGCTCCTTATCAAAGGAAATTGTTTTCCAATTCTCTCAAAAAAGGAAGCATCGGAGTCAGAAGTAGAAAAGTAAGGAGCCATTTATATATATACCTTCACAAACAATTTTTTCCACACAAATGGGATCAAACATGTATTTTTCTGTGATTTGTGTTTTTCTGTTTACAATACGTCTTGGATCTCTTTCCAGGTCAGTATACCTAAATGTCTCCCATTCTTTTTGGTGGTTGGGTTTCATTTCATGGGATGGATATACTATACCTATTGAAGTGGTCTGCTGTTCATAGGCATTTGGCCACTACAAACTGTTGTAAACATAATTGTATGTATATTTCTGTGCATAGGTCTGTTTATAGATGGCAGATTATGATTAGTAGAATTCCTGGACCAAAAGGTGCTGGTATTTTTATAAATCCAGCCAAATTGCCCTCCTCACTTAAGATCGTTCCAATGTAAACTCCAGTGAAGGTATAAAAATATTTGTTTCCAGTGCTCTTTGCCAGCTCAGGACATTATGTGATGACTTAGAATCGAATTTTTAAGTTTATATTGCCTAGTTTACAAATTTCTCCACATGTATATCTGTCATATTTTTTTTCTGATTTGCCTATTTACATTTTTGCCAATTTCCTGTTGCATTTTCTTTTTCTTACAGAATTTTATTAAGTTGTTGAATGATAAAAGGGTTAATCTTTTGCCAGTTATGTAGATAGTGACATCTTCTTCCTGTCTGTTGCCTGTAACTTTGCTCATGGTGTTTTGTTGTGTGGAAGTTGTAACTTTATTATCAGTCTTTCCTTTAATGACTTTTACATTTGATATCTTCCTTGGAATGGAACTTCCCCATTCCCACATTATAAAGTGTCAAGGCCTCCTCATAAAATTAAAGAAAGAGGCAGAACTTAACTGAACCATTGCCTGTAAGGAAAAAATACATATAGTTATTGAGAGGTTTAATGAGTGATAATTTTGTCCTTTTTGTACTGACAGTTTTATGCATTTTTCATTAGGCTATTATCTCATTGTCTAATATCTGGATAATCAACTTTATGCAATTGATTTACAGGCACAAGAAGTATTTCAAAAATGTGTTTCAGTTCAAGAAGAATGGAAACAGATTCACCATCTCTGCTACTGGGAGCTAATGTGGATTAATGTTTTCCAACAAGACTGGATGCAGGCTTATTACTATTCAGATCTGCTTTGCAAAGAGAGTAAATGGTCCAAGGTAAAGGGCAGTACTTTCATTAGTGTCTTCTGTTTGCTAATATGTGGCCAGAATGATTTTCTTTTAGGACTGTTTGTTCAATAGTATGATCCCACAGTGTTTTCTCAATTTAGAGATACATGAAAGGAGGAAATTTGCCCTAAGTACCTACCATTTATTGGTACTGTCCTCAGCATTACATTATTTAAAAGCCATCCACAGTTCTTTTTAGGGCCAAACACAGTGGCCCACGCCTGTAATCCCAGCCCTTTGGGAGGCTAAGGCAGGAAGATCACTTGAGGCAGTTTTATACTAGCCAGGGCAACACAGTGTGATTTTATCTCTACGAGAAGTAAAACCATTAACCAGGCATGGTGGTGTGTGTCTATAGTCCCATCTATGTGGGAGGCTGAGGCAGGAGGATAGCTGGAGTCTAAGCATTTGAGGCTGTAGTGAGCTATGATCACACCACTGCACTGCAGCCTGGTGGCAGAGCGAGACCTTGTCTCAAACAAAAACAAAAAGTTAGCCGGGCGCGGTGGCTCAAGCCTGTAATCCCAGCACTTTGGGAGGCCGAGGCGGGTGGATCACGAGGTCAAGAGATCGATACCATCCTGGTCAACATGGTGAAACCCCGTCTCTACTAAAACTACAAAACATTAGCTGGGCATGGTGGCGCGTGCCTGTAATCCCAGCTACTCAGGAGGCTGAGGCAGGAGAATTGCCTGAACCCAAGAGGTGGAGGTTGCGGTGAGCCGAGATCGGGCCATTGCACTCCAGCCTGGGTAACAAGAGCGAAACTCTGTCTCCAAAAAAAAAAAAAAAAGATTTCATTTCCTCTGATTTCTTTAATGCCTCTTAATACTATACCTGGAAGACTTGTAGGTGATTCCTGATTTGAAAGGTAGAAACGTCATGTACCTAGGGATGTTCTGTAATAAGCTCCTTCTTTTTCCCAAGGCAACTTATGTGTTCTTGAAAGCTGCAATTTTAAGCATGGTTCCAGAGGAGGATGTGGCAGCAACTAATGAGAACGTTGTAACTTTATTCAGGTATTCGAGACACTATTTCTATTAACAAAGGCCCTGAGGGTATAAAGGGGTGAAACTCCATCTTTACTAAAAAATATAAAAAATTAGCTGGGCACGTGGTGGCATGTGCTTGTAGTCCCAGCTACTTGGGAGGCTTAGGTGGGAGGACTGGTTGAGCCTGAAAGGTGGAGGTTGCACTGAGCTCAGATAACACCACTGCGCTGCAGCCTGGGTGACAGACAGAGTGAGACCTTGTCTCCAAAAAAAAGACCATGTATACTAACTAGCATCAGCATCAACATTAGTAGAAGCCATGGTATGGTAAATGTCACCTTTTACTGTAAAGTTCATTTTCTTATTTCACAGAAACAATTAATGGGAGTATTAAGATACACTAAAATCTTTTCAATCTCCTTCTGTTTCTTCCACTGCAGATTAAGTTTTCTCCATATCAAAACAATTTTTGTGAAAGATGTAATCATTTTATTATCAGGAGAAAGCTTTGAGGTGCTCTTTCATAGCTTCTAGGTTGCTGGGATAATGAGAGTTCTAAAATGAATGGTCTCTTCATAAAGATGCTGTTACCTTTAAACTACAAGGGTTCCTGTCTGAGACATGGTTCTGACCCCTTCCTCCTGACCCCCACCTCACATTTCCACCACCTTTTCCACTGATGGTAAATGAACATAAATGATGGGACACTCTAGTTTAAAGCCCATAACTCTATATTATGCCTAGAAGTAACCTAACAGAAGCTTGCCTCATATTGAAGGCATATTATTTCATGTTACTTTTTCTTTTAGTCATGCAATTGAGTATTTCCTTGAATTCTTTCTCAGCAACTTGTTTGATGCATTCATAAAATTATGTATAAGAAAGTATTCCTGGGAACATGTAGTCTCCCCATCCTACTCTCATTTTTACCTGCTTGTGAATTTTGTAATTGGAATTCTTTAGAATTTTGAAAAGAAGTTTGTATACATGGTACATGTCCTAAGCTGATTATTTCCCAAACCACCTGTGCTTAGGAAACATTTTCTTAAATTATACATTAATTAATGGCTATCTTTTGAGCCATATTGTTTTTGTAATACCTGCAAATAGGAATAGGAGATATACCAGTGTACCCTCTTCGCTCTCCCTGAGCGTCCACAACATAAGTAAATACTTTGGACTCTTTCCTGCTTACTCCTAGAAATCGCCAATTTCATACCTAGATTTCCTGGAGTATGTTTGATTTAAGACATTAGCTAAGTTGACTGGAAAAAAATATGTGTCAATCAGTGGTTCTCGATCTGAGTGTGTCTCAGAATGACCTGGAGGGCTTATCAAAATCCAGATTTCTTGGCCCCAGCCCTGGAGTTGCTGATTCAGTAGGTCTAGAGTAGAGCCTGAAAAATGGCATTTCACACAGCTTCCCAGGTGATGCTGCTGCTGCTGCTGCTGCTGCTGCTGGTGGTGTTGGTCTGTGATGTTCATTGTGAAAATCACAGGTGTAAATAATGTATGTGTTGCCATGATCTTTCTCTGGGGCTGGGCTGGGGCTCTTCACAGACAGGTGGAGAGCTTGAAACAGAGAATTGCTGGGAAATCTCTCCCTACTGAGAAGTTTGCTGTGAGGAAGGCTCGCCGTTACTCCGCTTCCTTGCCTGCACCTGTGAAGCTCGTCCTACCTGCCCTGGTATCTGGTTTTATTTTATTTACTTTTCATGTACTAGAAATAAATTATCTACTCACAGCAGCAGGGAGCATGGGAGCATATCTAAATTTGGTTATGAAGTTTAGCTCAATTAAAAATCATTGTAAGGCTGGGTGCGGTGGCTCATGCCTGTGTTCTCAGCACTTTGAGAGGCCAAGGTGGATGGATCACAAGGTCAGGATTTCAAGACCAGCCTGACCAACATGGTGAAATCCCGTCTCTACCAAAAATAAAAAAATTAGCTGTGTGTGGTGGCAGGTGCCTGTAATCCCTACTTGGGAGGCTGAGGCAGGAGTATAGCTTGAATCCAGGAGATGGAGGTTACAGTGAGCCAAGATCACGCCACTGCACTCTAGCCTGGGCAACAAGAGCAAAACTCCATCTCAAAAAAAAAAAAAAGAAATACTGAATATATCAAGTTACTGTGACTCTTCTGGTACTTTAGTTTTTGTATAGATAGCACAGGAAAGCTGTTCAGTGTAAGCTGATGCTGCGGTCCTCCCCTCTGGTGTTTCCTGAGGGTTTTTTGTTTTTGTTTATTTTTAAAAATTCAGAGTTTATTTCATTATTTCTCTTTGACAGTTATTTAGGTTTTTCTGGTTTTTACAATTAAAAACTAAAATGAATATCCTCTTTTTGTACATGTGCATTTAATTCTCTGAGAAGAGGTGTTTTTTTTAATGGAATTCCTAGTTGAAGGGAATATATACATTTGCTATGTTGGTAGATATTGTCAAATTTCCCTCCAAGAAAAGCTCTGCCAATTTCAATAAGTACTGACGGTGTTTTACCATTTTAATTTGCATTTCCCTGTTGATGTGGTGGAGCATCTTTTCATGTGTTTGTTCATTTTTATTTATTCTTGTGTGAATTGTTGTTTATATTCTTCCCTAATTTTTCATTGGATTGTTTACTGTTTTCTTAATGACTAATGAGAGCCCTTTATACATAGAAATAAAGAACAATGCAGCCCCTCCCTGACAGGGGTCAGACAGGAGTTAGCCTGAGCCTAGCACCTAGGTCCATGTGTTTCCTACCTAATGTAACCTCAGAGAACTTCAGCATCAGATAGCGTCCTTCTGTGACTGTGATGGAGCAAGATAAAAATATGACCACTCTGTAATCGTGTCTGAGCACAAATAGAAATTACACAAGATTTGTGTAAATCACACAACCAAACATCCCCCTCTTCCAGCTTACATGAGAGCCTGCTGCTGCTTTACCAATGATCACTGTAGCTCCATGCCTGATTCATTTTTATTAAGTGATTTGTACTGGGAAGGTTTTCTGTCTCACAGAAGTCTACTGACAATTTTCTAGAATATTGTTGTCTTTCTTTGTCTAGTACTTAGATACAAGTATGTATGTAACTGTGTCCTGCTTTGACTATTAAGAATCTTAGGGAAGGTTAACTCACTACACTTCTTTCTCCGTGTCTGTGGGTACAGAATATATAGGAAATTGGCTTGAAATGTTGATACTGGGATTTTTTTTTTTCGTACCTAGGAATTTTGCCAAAAGCCTGTTTTTCATTAAGTCTCAGATGTGGACTTGCCTCCTTCTGATAAAAAGATTCCATCAATAAAAATAATTTTTAAAAGGTCATCATCATCATCAGTTTAAAAAATATTCTGTTCTTGAATTGAGCTCTTATTCTTTTAGCAAGAAGAAATTTTTACATGTAAAATTGAAGGTAGAGTGTCCTGATCTTAGTTTTTCAGTGTAAGGTAACGATACCTTTGTTTCCATTCTCCCTGAGTGTTTCATCCTCATTTCCACTACTTCCTGGTAATAGGCTTTTCAAGTGATATTTTATCATCTTAAAATTTATTTCCATGAAGATACTAATTACTCTGCTTATTTCATACCCTTCAAAATATGAACTACGCTATCAGGAACATTAGAAAAATATTTTCAAGCGAAAGCACGTTTGCTTTTGATCCAAAAAAATTCTCATCTGGTAGCCCATTAAATATAATCTGCAATGAGAAATCATTAGTTTACATTTTAGGATCTGTCATTCAGCCATATGGCTTTTAAACGAATACGTTTTCTGCATATTGGATTGCATTACTGGACTGTCACATGTTTCTAATGGTATAAAAGATCCTAAGCCCAGTAAAATATTCCAATGTTTATATCCAGTGATATTCTTGGAAACATTTTATGTAAACGACTGGCAGACATTTAAAAATATTTTTCTTTACTTAAAAGTAATAAAAGTTTACATTAAACAGAATTATTCGTAGTATCAGTTTAAAATGTTTATTTCTGTAAGTGTATCCTATTACCTTCCAAAAGAATTAAATGCTTGTAGATATTTAATAAATATTTGCTATATGTATGAATAAATTAAAATTTCAGTGAAAACACATATACTGAATTACTGCACAGTATAAAAGGCAAAAGCAAAGGAAAATGATCTGTAAATATTGTCTTGAGATTCCTAGAAACCAAGGCAAAACATGTGAACATCGTTTTGGGATCATAAAGGACATTGAATAACCTCGTATAACTGCAAATCGTTTCCATTTTTTCTCATTAGGAAATGATGTATGTCTGGAATGGTTTTTCAGTAGTGAGCAAAAGGAAAGACCTTTCTGAAAATCTGTTGGTAACTGTCGAAAAAGCTGAGGCAGCTTTACAAAATCAAAGTAAGTATGCAAAGTAAGCACCAAGGAGTCTTTGTCTCTGCTCCGTGACCACTCTCCTGTCTTTTCCCTGTGCACATCTGCCTGTATTAATTTGTGTACATCATAAGGACAAAGAACTTGAGCTGCAGGGGTCTGGGTGATTGCAGTCCAGATGCAGGGAGGAATCATACATGCTGCAACTACATGAGCCTTGGAAACATCTTGCTAAGGGAGAAAAGCCAGCCTTAAAAGAGCATACATTGTATGATTCCATTAAAAGTGATACTCAGAATAGACAAATCTATAAAGACAGACAGTAGATGAGTGGTTGCCTAGGGATGGAGGTTGGAAGTTAGGGATTATGATGGGGAGGGAGGTGATGAAAATGTTCCACAGTTGACTGTGGTGATGGCTGTACAACTCTGTAAATATGCTAAAAACCATTGAATGGTACATTCCCAATGGGTGGATTGTATGTTATGTGACTGTATCTTAAAACTGTGACAGAAAGATGAATGGAGGAAGCCCAGCATTGGAGTTTTGGAGCAGCACAAGGAAATACCCACTTCCCTCTGGGTTGAGTTTGCTGTGACTCTTTTTTTTCCTTTCTCTTTTCTGTTTTTCTTTTCTTTTCTTTTCTTTTTTTTTTTAGATAGAGTCTTACTCTTTCACCCAGGCTGCAGTACAGTGGCATGATCTTGGCTTATTGTTACCTCCACCTCCTGGGTTCAAGCAATTCTCTTGCCTTAGCCTCCTGAGTAGCTGTGATTACAGGCACACACCACCACGCCTGGCTAATTTTTGTATTTTTAGTAGTGACAGGGTTTCACCATGTTGGTCAGGCTGGTCTCTGAACTCCTGACCTCAAATAATCCACCTGCCTCGGCCTCCCAAAGTGCTAGGATTACAGGCATGAGCCACCGCGCCTGGCCTGCTGTGACTCTATGCCTCCTTATTGCTGTCTAACAGTTAGTGTGTTTCTGCAGACCCAGGGAATAGTTTTTAAGGTAAAATATTATCACAGTTTATTCTAACCACTATGTTCGGCTGTGCTAGAGGCCACACTTCAGTTGACTGGGAGCAGCTGATATGGTAAGAGGAGAACCGTGTGGTCTGGGCTTACAGTCCCAGCTCTGCAGCCGTCAGACTCTGGGTGACCCTTCTGTTTTCTTGGGAAGTGGGAGGAATGTTGGACCAGATGCTATCCAGCGTTGTTGCCTTGCCCTGACATTTTTTGATTCTGTATTTTTAATGGGGGTAAACAATGCCATAAGTGATAGCCTTTGTTGTATTTATTTTCAGTGCCAAATCACTTAGGTATTATCTCAAGATAAATGGTCTTGTCTTTTGTAATATTCTAACCACAGAAGTAGAGTGAAAACTTCTGTGATGATAAACATGGTAAAGGGCATAGAAATTCAGGAATGGCGGGGGGAAATTATAACAGTTAACTAATTTTTCTTAACTGGGAAAAGATGGGCACTCCAGGAGCCCAGCCACTGTCTATTTGAGCAAGCTCTTCACTTCCCCCAACCCCCTATTTATTCCCTCCACTGGTGGAGGACAAAATTAGAGGGGAAATATATTTTATCAGACTATGCAAATAAAATACAGTGGAAATTTAGAAAACCAAGTTGCTCTCTTCCACCCATTCCTTTTTCTCTTAATGACATGCTGAGATGATAGGCTTTCGAGATATTTAAGCAGGCAGTGGGGAGCTGAGACAGACAAAGACAGTCATGTCATACTTACTCACAGTTTTGGCTTTGTGTGTCTTCTCTCTGGATGAAAGAATTAGTTTATTTTCTGAAGATCACCTTTGCCAGATATTGCATGTGACACTTATGATGACCTCTTCTAGGACTCATTTTCTGCAAGAAGATTATCTCCTGCTCTCCTCCCCACGTCAAACTGTTTGGACAGCTTAGTAATTAAGCACCTGTCCTTCAGAGCAGGGAAGAAAAGTCCATAATTGGAAAATGGAGAGAAGTTGTAAACTTGAGGTTACATCATCTTCCACCCCATCCCCTGCCCCATTATTGGAAATTGGATGTGCATTTGCCTCCCCTAGCTTTGCAAGTGTGTCTGAAGTAAAAGATGGTAGAGGATACAACTGATCTTCTACTCTGCAATGCTCTGGCCATAGTTATTAAATGCTGGTCACTGATACAAAAGATAGAGCTTTGAAGACAGCACAGAAGTTGGTGACATCCCTGGAGTCAGCATTTGGTATTAATTCCGATAGTGTTTCATTTGAAATCTAACTAAATTCAACATGTAGCCAGAAGTTCCACTTTGACTAATTTGTTTAATAAAATTATATAGCAAACATTAAGAGAGTTATGTAAAAGGGAAAGTGATGCTGACTTTATGACTTTTTACTTTCTATATTTATTTTCAGATTGTTCTCTTGGGGGTGTTTCAGCTAGCTTCTAAAAATTTCAACATAGATACTTTTTGTAGTTTGGGCTTCAAACTTCCCTGTTTCTCAGCCTATCCACTATAAAAGTTCAGCAGATCTTTTGTTATAAAATTGTACTATGGCAGCTTTATCATGTAATTTTCTTTGAATGTAAAATGGAAACATATTACATGTGTGTTGTGTGTTATGTTCATTTATGAACACATTCATGAGGTTGAAAATCATGACAAAGCATTTATACTTTAACAGAAAACAATCATCTGATAGATAATGGTCTGGAATTTGAGGAAATAACGATTTTGCTATCTGAGATTTTTGGAGAAATACAGCATTTTTGAACCTACTTGCCATATGCCTAACTCAAGTTTGACATAGAAGTTACATGTGGCTTTACTGGTATTTTAACTTCCCATGATGTTGTCTCTTCCTCAACAAAATCATCATTCATTGAGCACCAGAATGTTGTGATAACATAAACTGTCGATACAATGCTACAGAAAACTCAGTAGAATGTACAAAAATGATACTAAAAGGTAGCATCCAATATGGACCTTTGGTTTTGGTTCTAGGTCCTAAAATATATTACTTCTTTAATGTCTATTTTAACATCCGTGATTAAAAGCAATGGATAGAATTTTATTTTGGTAGAAAGATGATTCTAAATAAATTATAGAAAAGATAATTTGTTATTGATACCTGTGATTTTTCTGGGTGAGTGACCTATCAGGGCATGAAAGTTAGAGGTGAATATTCAGTTTTTAACCCTAGAAGTAAAGTGAGTTAATCTCCATAGACAAGTGGTTTACCATCTCAGCTGCCAGCGCGTGTGAATGATGATTTTTGAGCTTTGTGCTGAAAGCAGGATTTCAATAGGAGGAACTCCCAGAGCCTCGTGCTTTCCCTTTACTGCCATCTTCTCTACTGTCACAGCCTGAAATGTGAAATTACCAGTCTGTCTTGGAATGACTTTGTACTTGCCTATAACTTGCAAAAAAATTTCAGAAGTGTAAACGTGGAATGGCTACCTTTGTCAGATAGATGTCACACATAATATGGTTCCTTCTGTTTAACACACATTTGCCTTCGGCTGTAGAAAGCAGAGAGCATTTTCAAAAGTGAAAAGTGCAAGAAAATCCTTGACATTTTCCTCAAACAGAAGTTTGTGGAGATTTTAGGTGCCTTTCATGCACTTCAGAACCGTTTTGTCTTATGGTATAATTTCCCCCAAAAAGAACACAACCTGAGAGAATTGATAAGTTGTAAACATAATGATCTGGAGAGGGTATTCTACTTCCTGAATTTTTAATAGGGATAAGGCCATCTGCTTCTCCATATGGAAGCGTTATCCTCTCCTGTATTGAAGCCAACACCGAAGCCAGACAACAGGAGGAAGCAGCCTTCTTGTTCCCCATGGCTTTACCTTTTATAGAATTTATAAAGTTCTTACTTTATTTAGAGTTCAGATTTCTGGTTGTTGTATCTAAGGTCACAAAGCTCAGAGTGTGGCCACCTGAAGAATATTTTAAGGTGGATAGAGTGAACTCCTTAATCAAATGATGTTCTTATATAGTAAATTCAGCATATAGGAATGTATGTGTGTATCAGATGGGGTCTTGTTCTTTCACCCAGGCTGCAGTGCAGTGGTGCCGTCATAGCTCACTGCAGCCTCGAACTGATGGGCTCAAGTGATCTTCCTGCCTCAAGCTCTGACAGCTGGGACTACAGGCGTGTCCCATCATGCTCAGTAATTAAAAAAAAAATTTTGTATAGAGACAGGGTCTCACTGTATTGTCCAGGCTGGTCATGAACTCCTGGGCTCAAGTGATCCTCCCACCTTGACCTCCCAAAGCACTGGGATTATAGGTGTGAGCCACTGTGCTCAGTTCTTTTCATTTAAAATGATTTCATTGTATTTTATTTAGTAAGGCATAACAAACGCTAAAAATATTTTCCTTATTTTTAAATGATCCCTCTGAAACTTTGTTCTTTCTCTTAAGATCTTAAAAAGTATTTTTCTTTGTATGTTTTTTGTTTTAAGATTTTAACAGCTTCTCTGTGGATGATGAGTGCTTAGTGAAGTTACTGAAAGGATGTTGCCTCAAGAACTTACAGCGGCCCTTGCAAGCTGAACTATGTTACAATCACATTTTGGAAAGGTAAAACCAAACAATAAAACCAACCTGAGTGCAAATTGTGGTTTCTGGGGAATTGCTGTGAGAAAGTGATGCAAAATGCTTTTCTCTCTTACTGCTGAACTTTTACTTGGTGCTACAAGAAAGAGAATCCAGTAGTGTTTTTTGTTGTTGTTCCTCATGAACAAAATTATGGTCTAGGTGTAACATGGCTTTATGCATTTCTAGTTGGTGTTTAAAGATGACTGACTCACAAAAACTATATTTAAAGCTGAACTAACAGATGTCTAGCCAAGCTCTGGCAGCAGCATACTGAACCTCTGCTACTCATTAATTTTTAAAAATGTTTTAATATATTTCTTTAGTTTTTGTTTTCTTTCTTTCTTTTCTTTTCTTTTTTTTTTTTTTAAGGAGATGGGGGACTTTTCTTGTTGCCCAGACTGGAGCGCAGTAGTACAATCATGGCTCACTGCAGCCTGGAACTCCTGGGCTCAAGAGATACTCACACCTCAGCCTCTTGAGTAGCTGGGACTACAGGTGTGCGCCACCATACCTGGCTTCTGATACTAATTTAATTCTTGCGTTTGTTTCTTCATTCATTTATTCCACGGATCTTTGACCACCCACTGTATGCCAGAGACTGTACTGGATTCTAGGGATTCAGAGCTGAGTAAACAGAGTTGCCATCACCATGGTAATAATTTGGCAGGAAAGAGTGGCATGTAACTGTCTGTCTTTTGGCAAAGGGCAGTTCTTTTGTATATAATTGAGTTTTGTTTTGGTTTTATTTCCTCCCAGTGGCATTGATGATGATGTCCTGCTCTATTACTAACCACAGAGTTGAATCAAGGTTCTGATGCCTGGCCCTTTTCTCTGTATCACAAATGGAGTATCTACAGGGGCCAGACAAGTAACCTTACTTATTCAGGCTGGCTGAGTGGTGGCAGGAATAGGATTGGTAGGCTCTGTAGGTTAGGCTGTTTTCTCTGAAGTGTACAGCCACTTCTCAGCTCTATTTGATTATTGCTGTACACCGTGTGGCCCCAATAGCAATAATCCCTACCGTTTTTCATGAAAAGCCTAGAATCTGGATTTTATATAAAATCTGATTTTAAAATATTGGCTCAAATTTTTTGAAAATGTTGTACAAGCCAAAATGATCACAGCTGTAGACTGCTGGTGGACATCCTGTGCTATGTATCATGTGCCCTTCCATTCATGGCCACCCGATCCCCTTCTTCCTGACAGTACTAATGGGAATGTAGGTGGAGTGGTGCCCCTATAAGAATAAAATGTCTATTTCCCAAATGTCCCGTCTTTAGTAATATTCTGTTAATTAGTTAATGAACTATCCATGGAGTTCTATTTTATTAGTGTTTCTATAAGGATTAAAAGGATGAACAAAAGAATGACCCATTGTGCTGTTTTTTGTGTGTGAATCTCATAGTGAATTGTTTGCTCATGGGCTTTATAATTTTGGATTGTGAACTCACCTTCAGTGGAGTTTTATCTTGAGGTTCCTATGAGACTATGTTGAAGAAGAGTTGTTCTACAGTGATTTTGCATTTTATTTCTGCCATGGGCCAATTTCATGTTAATTTCATTGCTTACTTCTTGGATCATTTAGACAATGTAAATTTGAATTGCACATTCAATGTTGGCAGGCCTATTGGTTATTAATTTCCTAAGGAATTCTTTTTTCTTCCCATCAAAAATGCTGGCCAAGGAGACAACTGTCTTTGTCTTCCTCCTTTACCAGTGGGTGGGTTTGTTCTAATTTGCCTTTCTCTTAAGGAATAGTCCTGTAAGGATTCCAGCTTTAAATAGAGGTCTTATTTTCAGCTCCATGCTTTCTGTATGCCCAAGACCTCCTCTCCTGAATGGACATTAGGATACAAAGCCCTTATTCAGATGGAGGCAGACCACAGGGCTCATTCAGCATCATCCCACATATGTAGAGTTTTGCTTTTTCAATTCTAGCTGTTTTTGGCACTTGAGGGTTTTTCCATACTTTCTGGTGAGCCAAGCTATGCATTTGGAATGGTGTTAGTTATATATATGTGTGCGCATATATATATATATATATATTTATTTATTTATTTATTTATTTATTATTTATTTATTTATTTATTTTTTTGGTGCTTCTAGGTGTTTTGTAACCAGAGAATTCTCATAATGGTGCTGAAAACAGAAGTGTTGACCATTTCTTTATTGGCCTTTTAAAGCATTATAAGACTTCAAAATACAAAGGGAATTGAACCTTAGTTTAAAAATAATGCAACTTTGTTATTTCTAAATGGAGTCATTTTCTGAACACATTCTTGTTCAGAAAGATGACCTTGCTATTTCTAGGGTTAATCTTTAAAGATCTGTATGCACTGATTTACTTAAGGGGCAGCAGTCAACCATCAGTGCTGGGTTTATATTAAGAAATAAAAGATTAGTATATGAAAGGCACATTATTTCTTGCCATAGTTTAATGAGTTCCATAACTATACAATGGCCACTTTTCTGTGATAGACTTAGTGCTGCACATATTTTCTGAGGAATGGGAATCATATATATTTAGAAAAATATATATTTCTTGTTCTATTAAGATTTACTTGCCTTTCCGTTGCCCTTTCAGTGAAAAGCTACTGAAGTATGACCACTACCTAGTGCCATTCACTCTGTTTGAATTGGCATTTTTATATAAAAGCCAAGGGGAAATTGACAAGGCCATAAAGTTCCTAGAAACTGCAAGGTAAGTGTTGAAGGCAGCTTTTCCTTGATTGTTATAGAGTCAGAAATGTCAATGCTGCTATAACAACAGCAGTAATATTATATACTTAAAAATTAATAAATTAATGTCAAATTAGTAATCATGCTACTTTTGCTAACTTCTGATTGATTTATACTCATGGCTTTTGCTGTAATTGTGCTGTTTCCAAAACCCTCTTACTGTCTCATTCTGTGACTATTTACAGACGTGATTATGGGCATCTATCTGAAATACTTCTAACTTATTCTATATCAGGGGTTGGCCAGCTTTTTGTGGAAATGGCTAGATAGTAAGTATTTTTAGCTTTATACCATAAGGCCTCCATTCCAACTACTCCATTTTATCAAAAGAAGTCATAGAAGGTAATATGTAAATAAATGGGTGTGCTTTATTTGGCCCTTGGAGCCTGGGTTGCTAGCCTTCGAGGTATTCAGCCATGTCTATTATTTTGTTGAAGAGCCATTGATCTTGTGAAGGTTGCAGATCTTACCCAGACTCCTTTTTTTTGTTTTTTCTGTTTATTTTGGCAGTTTCAAAATATTTTTATCATTCTGATAGACAATAGCTTTTAGACCCATGATCATGGATCACTTAGGTAAGGCAAAAACCCTGTGGCCTGTTTGCCTCCAATACTTCCTGTAGTAGAGAAAGAATGCCAGAGTAGCTCTAGGTCATAAATCACTATTTATGAGTGATTTAGAGTAGCTCTAGGTCATAAATAGTGATTTGTTCATTTATTCAAATTCAGCAATTATTCACTGAGCACTTATTATGTGTCAGAAACTAGCGAAGGCTTTAGAGAGACAACTATAAGCAGGCAGTGTTTCTGCTCTTAGCCAGAGGGAGATATTAAATAAACAAGAAAAATATCAGTGGTATGTGTTTTGCTGAGATTTATAATATGATGCATGGTGCCTGGATGTTACTTCATGTTAGATTGAAATATTTCCTTGAGGAAGTGATATTGTAGCTGAGATTTACATAAGTAAAGCCAGTCTTGAGATCAATCATCAGAAGTCGACCAACTAACTAGGTAGGGAACATTCCTGGCAGAAGTCATAGTGAACATCTGCATTGAGGAGGTTGAGCCACTGGGTCAATGATGTTGCTTTTTGCTGTGCTGGGGAATACCTAGAAGAGCATGTTTGGGGAGAGAAGGAAACATACTTCTGTTGAGACTATGATTCTCTGAGATGGCTATTAGGTACTCATATTAGGTAGATGGCAAGTTGGCATTCATACTTGGCACGGAGTTCAGCGGTAAGGTCAGGGCTGAATGTAGAGATTTCAGTCAACAGCACAGAGATAGTGATATTTAAAGCAATGGCACATGATGAAGTCATTTTGCGAATGTGCTATAGCTAGAGAAAGAGGTCTAGTACAGTGTCTGGTACTGTATATGGCATCTTCTTAGGCATTCAATGATAAGATTAAGAAGATTAAGAGCATTAAGAAGACATCTAGGAAAGCCAACCAAATAGTGCTTCAAAAAGAAGAGTGTGGTTAGTTATGAGGGCAGCAGCTGAGAGGTCACACAGGGTAAGACTAGAGAAGTGGCTGCTGAATTGGGCAGCATGAGGATCACTGGTGAACCTTGACAAGTGAGGTTACAAATGAAATGGAGGTAGCTACTTTAGGCCACACTTTTAGGATGTTTGCTGTGAATAGAACATTGTAATGGGGCAAAAGCTTTACGGGCATGGTAGAGCCAAGAAGGGCTTCCTTCAAATATTTATATATAGGTGATATGACAGCAAGTTGCTTTTAAAGTCAGTTTGTTGGGAGCATGACCAATATTTTATGTGTTGCATAGAGATATCTTCAAATCCAGCTATTGGAAAATTATGGATTATAAATACTTCTGTTCCAAATATTCATTATTTGAATACACAATGTGCAATAAGGCAACTTTATAATGACAAAAATAAAAGACCTGTAACTCACTGCTAAAAAGCAATGAAAAGCCTCCACTAACTCAAGACAACACTGATGATTCAAACATAAAGATACTTCCCAGTAATTCCAAGACTGTAGTCTGTAATTTCCCTTCATGTATTAGGAGCTTTGCAAAGTTCCCCAGATTGGTGGGCAGACATTTAGGAAAATACTCAATTCCATCCTTTGGTAAACTCCAGTAAGATGTTGATTTTAGTTTATGAATAATACATTTTATTAACCCTTATCATCATTACCACTGAGTAGCCCTTACACCTGTTCAAAATGAAGGGCTATAGAAGTGTCACTGTAAAGAAAGCGATTCTAGCTCACCCATGGACCAAGGAAGTATGTAAAAGTATTCCATTTTTCTGATTCTTAACAATTCTAGTAAAGGAAGGTCAACATAAATTCTCTTAAGCAGGTTTTAAATAATCTTTGGATTTCTGTGGCCCCTTTTAAAGACATTGACCTAATTATTATGTAATTATTGGCCAAACCATTGATATTTGCATGTGAGAATTGGAATAAGTAATTTTGATGTCATTAGGTAATTCTGCTGCCTTTGCTGCAGTTGTTTCATTTGGGTTTCTTGAGTGATTGATCTGTGTGATCATGCTCACCATGTTTATACGCCCCTACCTTAGAATTTTTCAATTTAAAAAAGGAAATCTAATTATTTAGGACTAGTTCACAAAATTTGTACAGCCCTCTTCACAACTTTCTTGCTGTGCTTATGAATGGTTTGGTAATTAAGCAGAACCTTGCTACTCAAAGTATGACCTTTAGATGACCACCAGGAATCTTATAGAAATGCAGATTATTGCAGTTCTCCCAAAGATCCCCCCAACAGAACCAGAATCTGCTTTTTACTAAGATCTACTCTTATGTGTATTAAAGTTTGAAAGCAAATAAGCAGATCGGAGAGAAGAATGGGAGGGTGGTGGTACCCTGGTATATAAAGACATTTTGACTGTACAATTTTATTATTATTGTTTTTAGGAACAACTACAAAGATTACTCCTTGGAGTCCAGACTACACTTCAGAATTCAGGCAGCTCTTCACCTCTGGAGAAAACCTTCCTCAGATTGATCAGAACTTGAAGGATAGAATTTTCCCTCAATTAGCATCAGCATCTGCTATAGAATAAACCTTATATTAAAGTTGAAACGTGATCTTGTGAATAAGAACAAAAAAAATGTTATTGTTAATATTTTCTATCATCTGAGAGGTTTACTGTTGGTCTACACAATTTTTTTTTCCTATGGAATGGCATTCTATATTATCTAGAAAATTCTTATATTTTGCCTCCCCCAAAATAATTTCATATTAGATTTGAATTGGGGTAAAGAAGCCTTTTAAAAGACTTGCAAATGCAATAGTCTAATTAGATTATTTATTTTTTTAATGTGGAAATTAATATTGTTTAGCAACTAGCTTACAAGTTGAGCCAATTATAGAATTGTTGGGTAGTTAAACTTCAGAGATATTTTGTTGCCTAGTACTTAAATTTCAGAAGGTAGATAAGTATCACATTTAAAATAGTTTAACAATGACCTTCAAAAGACTTGTGAAAAAGACAGTCTGAGAACATGAACACAGATGGGCTATAAAGTACTTCATAGGTTGAAAAGACCTGCATCTATAAAGGATGATGCAGTATTCAGTTCCTGGTTTTTTACTCTTCATTTGAATAAATGGTGGTGACATTTTGGAGAGACTGGGTTTAAATGTACTTAAGTCTATTATAATAACAAAATTCAAAACCTCCTGTGTATTTAAAGGGAAGAAAGTATCATATTTTAGGAATTTTTCTTAACCTTAGCAATGAGAACCTAAAATACATATATAGGTTATTTTTCTTATAGGTAGTAAAATTCCTGCTGCTTTAAATGATATGTAAAATATCAGTAATTTTTACACTTAAGATGTTGGCAAGACCTAATTTTCTAATCTCTCTAGCACTGTGATGTCTCCTTGTAGATATCTGGACCTCACTTAGTTCTTGGGAAACAGATTCAGGGCATGGAGCAGAAGAGAGCTTGACACCCCATATGGTCCTTGTTCTGCTCCTCTATTAGCAGTTAGTGAGGTGACCTTTAGCGAGTCCACTGTGCCCTGTGTGTCACCATATTTTCTTCTGTGAAATCTAAATTAAAGAACAGATGACTTTCAAGATCTCTTTCAGTTTTATAACTGTGAGTCTATGTAATAGGTATTTATTTTCAACAAAGAACTTTATAATGTTGAATGCAAACCATTCCCACTTGGAGTGTTTTATATTTCAGTCATCACCATTGCCCCTCATCCCCCACATGTGTGTGTTGTGGCCAAGGACCAGGTTGCATCCAGAGTGAGGAAAGGCAATTTATGAGCTGATGAATCTGGGCCTTGTCTTATTTCTGTTTCTATTTGGAAGAATAACTTGTCGCGGAAGCCTCTGCAGTTTAACAGAAGGAGCCACCTATTGGGAGTCAGGAGTTCATTTCTGTGGGCTAATAGTTCTGTGACACGGAGTTAGTAGCTCAGCTTTTCGGGGGCTCAGTTGCCCCAGTGTGGATAGCAGTGTGGTATTTGGTACTTGTGAGGGTTCAATTAGATAAAGCATATGATAGCTTTTTGTAAACTGTAAAAGGCTATACAAAAGTATGAGTTATTGTAATAATTATGGTTTATACGCATGGATTACAGTATCAACATATGAGTAGTGGCTGATACTGTGGTCTGTGTTGTAAAATGAAAGAAGCATAGAAATTCAAATACCTTTCAGTATATTCATGTGTTTGATGTTGACAGTAGCCCAGGTTATATGAACTTGCTCCCGTCGTTCCCTGCCACGTGGACCTGTATCAAGAAATGTGTGGCTTCTTTTCCTTAAAGTACTGATTATTGACCAACACTGAGGATATATATCCAATGAAAGATGATTAATAGAACTCAAGTCGGAGTACCACCCCTTCGATACTATGGCAGTAGATATCAATGTGTTATTAATAGTATAACTTTAGGTACAGACAAAATAGAAAATAAAATTAACTGTCATTATAATTAGTAGTAGAAAACATTAAAAATTATTTGTGTATAGCTTTGGAAAAAAGTTTATGAAGTTCTTAGAAGAGCTTTGGTAACATTATTTTTGGAAGCATACACCCACATTGTGACTGTGGGTACGCTGGGCATTCTTACTTTGTTACTGTGAGAAGCTGCAAGCCAGTAAAAAAATTGTCTTTTGGGTATAAAATGAAACAATATTAAGCTTAGAGTGGCCATTTTAATTTTAACTCCACATTACTAAACAAATATAAAAGAAATTCATCTCCATATAAAAATCTTTTATCATTTATATTTTATTTTATTTTTATATCCTATTCTTTGTATAGTTACCTGATACCATGGACAGTATATCCAGTGGATCTTTTAGTACTACTATAATATCAAAATGCTACAAATATTTATGTTTCCTGCTATGTTCAAAATATTGTAGTAGCACCAACTTCTTGTGGCATCAGCTAATACTGCATTTTGGAGTTATTAGGGTGCTCTGTGAAGAATGAATACTAAAGTGACAGTTTGATCTAGTTTTTTGAGGGACATTTATGATGGGGTTGGGTTGCCATTGTGTCTTGACAGTGCAATTCACGTAGTTCCTGGCGTAATTGGCTTTTTTTTTTTTTTTTTTTTTTTTTTTTTTTTTTTTTTTTTTTTTTTTTTTTTTTTTTTTTTTTTTTTTGTTTTTTTTTTTTTTTTTTTTTTTTTTTTTCCTAATGGAGAGTCAGCGTTCTGAATGGTGCTATATAAATTTAAGTAAGTATATAAATTTAAGTGCTTTGTATATTAAGTGCTATATATATTTAAGTAACTATATAAATTTAAGTGCTTCAAAGGGATGATGACAAGGCAGACATGATTTCCCCTTGACAATGAATGAAAGGTGAACTGCATCAGCTCTTATCTGAACATATATTTTAATGTTTTCTATGCCCTTTGATAAAAGAAGTTTCCAAGTTATATAGGAAAATTAAGTCCACCGATCCTGCCTTCATCCTCAGAGAGCAGAGGTGAGACAAGTGGATAAAAGCTGTAGGAAGCTGAATTCCAGATGAATCAGCACCAAGGAAGATTTTTCATTATTGGAAAACCCAACAGTCTACAATCGATAACCAGTTCTTCTGCAAAGGGGTGAGTTTAGCAGGGCTAATGTGATTGCCATTTCTGCCTGTCCTAGCAGCTTAGACTAATTGAACTTTGAGGTCACTCTATGATTCTTTTATTAGGGCTTCAAATCAGTGGAGAATGTGTGAAGAAAAAATCGCCCCCCCCCCATTTCAAATAAAAGTGAATGTTTTCTCTTTCAAAGCTACTATTAGAGGTAGTTGTAATAGACACTAACAATCTCTGCTGTTAATACTTACGATTCCACTCCTTTTTAAAGTGAGTCTGTTGATCTTCATAAATAGAGGGGTTTTCCCTAGCGTGGACATTAAAAATAATTTTTTAAAAGTTCTTTGTGGCCAATTGGAAAATCTTTTGGAATTATCTAATTCTTCATTCATTTTGTATTTCATTCATTCATTCCGGTATTTCTGTTTTTTCCCCCTCCTGTTTATAATTTCTGTATTTAGAAATCTTAAATTGAAATACATTTAGTTAAAATGAGTTAATGAAGACTCCAGTGATGTTTTAATACCCCAAGATATTATGATTCCTTGGTCCTGGAATGGATCTTAGAAAATTATCTCATCCTCATGAGCCTGTAAGCAGAGCCTGTAAGCAGAACCTGTAAGCAGACCCTGTAAGCAGAACCTGTAAGCAGAGCCTGTAAGCAGAACCTGTAAGCAGAGCCTGTAAGCAGTGTTGTTTCCCCTCAGTCCTGCTCTGTCCAGACCCGGTAGCCCCTCGCCACATGTGGCTGCGGAGTCCTGAATGACTTACAGCGCATGTGGGAATGGGGCTGAATGCTAAGGGAGCATTCATTCATAAGGGCTGCACTTCTCCTTAAAGGCCTCCCAACGGCCTCCTTTCCGGAGATCTGGCTTTTACTTGCTGTCTGCTATGATAACCTGATTTGTGCTTCACATACATATCTGTGAAGTTTGCTTTTTCTGTTTAAGTGCCCTTAAACTTTCATTTCATCATGTTTATTCTGCAGACAATCAATGTCATTGGCATATTTGAACATTATTCTGCCCTCCCTCTGCTAAACTCCTTATGGACTAGATGGAGAGATTTGATTTTTGAGATTATGATTTTAATTTGATTTTACAGACATTCTTTGCTTTTTTACAAAGCACAGTTGTTAAGAGTCATAGAAGAGTGATTCTCATCTTTGAGAAGATAAATTTCATGATTAATATTTTCTAAGATAAAATTACTCTAAGAAATCTAGTGAAACCTTTTCAATTGCTTTGTTATTAATGTTTCAACACTGACTCTCTCAACTAGGCCAATATTACTATTTAAAGGTTTTTAGAAGCTGGGCATGGTGGCTGATGCCTGTAATCCCAACACATTGGGAAGCCTAAGTGGGAGGATCACTTGGGGCCAGGGGTGTGAGGCCAGCCTGGGCAATATTCTTTATAAAAACCAGAAAATTAGCTGTGCATGGTGGAGTGTACTTGTAGTCCTAGCTGCTGGGGAGACTTAGGTGGGATAATCACTTGAGCCCAGGAGTTTGAGGCTACGGTGAACTAAGATCATGCGATATATAAAACCTATATATAAAATAAAGATTTATAGACATATGTTACCACTTAGAGAATAATTTTGCAGTTGGTTTATTTAAAACATATATTTAAAGCTGGGCATGGTGGCTTACGCCTGCAATCCCAGCACTTTGGGAGGCCCAGGCGAGAAGACCACCTGAGGTCAGGAGTTTGAGACCAGCCTGACCAACTTGGAGAAAGCTCATCTCTACTAAAAATACAAAATTAGCTGGGTGTGGCGGCAGATGTCTGTAATCCTAGCGACTCGGGAGGCTGATACAGGAGAATTGCTTGAACCCAGGAGGCGGAGGTTGCAGTGAGCCGAGATCGCGCCATTGCACTCCAGCCTGGGCGATAAGAGTGAAATGTCATCTCAAAAACAAACACACAAACAAATAAAATGACATATTTATGCCTTTTGCTGCCTATTATTATTTTTGAATGTATGATACCTAAGTGATATGCATATATATATGATTAAGACATTTTTATCTCTTTAGATATTTCTTCATAAGATACATGTATCTATAGATAGCTATATATGAAACAACTTACAAATAATAAGTAGACAATGTTTTTATACAGTTCTTTCCAAAGACACACAGGATTTTTTCAAATTCTCCCTCCCCCAGTTCAGTTATTTACATATTTTTGTCTCTAAGTGTTAGATTGCTTGTTTCTACTGCCTATTGTTGATAGTTTTGTCTTTTATACATTTGCTGTTAGATTTAGTTACTTTGAAATGTTGAACTTGAAATGTAATGAAAAGGACACATGAGAATTTATCATCAGGGAACATATCTTTTATGTTGAGCAGTTGCTATCTGATCTTGACAGACTCTCCTCTTAGAAGTCTATTCTAGTCATTTTGTAACTTCATAGCTGCTGAAAGAAATGATGCAAGGACTGTTGCATGGACTGAGATGGCTGAGCAGGTTCTTGGCCTGAATTATCCAGAGGAGATAGTTGGATCTAGCTTCAGAGGAAGTCTGTGCCTCGTTCCCTTCTGGTTACAATGTACCCAGGACATGTGTTTAGCACAGTAATAATGTAACAGGATGTTGCATGGAAAAATCAAAGCAGCTGCCTCACTGTATTTAACTAAAAAGAATGCCTACAGGTTGGATATTTAATAGGGAAAATCAAGGTACTTTAATAACAAACTTCACTATGTAAAGCTTGTTGAATATTAACATACGGTATACCTTGCATATTAATCTCATAGTTTTTAGAAAGACCAATTTAAACACTGAATGTAAGGGATGCTGGCATATCCCAGTGACAGCTTCAGTTTTATTGCTGCTTAATATTTTCTAGCAAATTAGTTTTAATTATTGGTAGTCTGTTGGGCACCATTTGGGGAAGAAACAAATTTGTCTCAGTGTAGCAGAATGATAGTCAAAAAATTTGGGTAAAGAATGAGTATAAGGCCGGGCGCGGTGGCTCACGCCTGTAATCCCAGCACTTTGGGAGGCCGAGG